GGCACACGTAACTAGCACTGGTTTGTGTGACAGAAAGATTGGTCAGGTGCCTATGAACAATATTTATGTGTCTGTCTTAAATGTTAAATGACTGTATTTTTTCAGGGACATACTTCATATGGTAAGATGTATGATAGAGCTCATGAGTGAATTCTACAAATCCCAAATCCCCCTCACTCTACCCCACCCCAGCAAGTCTTAACTATGACTAAAAGTTTATTAGTTCCAATAATAGAACCCTAAACACCCATTTGATAACTTATCCATGGTTATATTCGCTTGTATTCTGTTTTGGTTAACTAAACAGTTAATATGTGCAATTTCCCACCTTCAGTTTCAAATTCTTGCTGTTTTATCTGTTCACCTGTCCCCAGTCATTGTCATTTCCTTTCCTGCTTCAATGTAAGCAGAAAATTACTATGCCAAAGAGCACAAGGCTCGGAATTACTGAAGCAGCCTTCACTTGCTTAGCCAAATATTCAGTTCTAATGGAACTAACACTGTGTTCAGTTATCCAAGAAATTCTGCTGTTCCATATTTAAAACATAGTATCTTCCTTGATTTTTTAAACCCCTTACTTGCCCTTAGTCTCTGTCAAAAGATAGATTCATTCTGGATAGTGTGAGCTAAAGCAATTTAGGCTCATTCAAATGCTTGAACAGCCGGGAAAAATTATAAAGCAAAAAATTTCTCTGACTTTAGCAGCAAAATGATTAGAAAAGTAAAAACGTCAGGGAAGTAATTTTTGCATCTGAGCTATCCCATTCTCAATCTGCTTTGATTCATTGGGTGCAAAGACTTGGAACATGAAACTTCAGCCTTTGTTTCAACCTTTAAGTTTTTCTAGTTAATTTTTCTATAAACTTTTGACTGATATACTAAGCAAATACACTGTGAAGGTACATAAGGCCAACTTTTCTGCTTAGTGTCAGATCCTGCCCCGTTCTTATGTTTACTGGCACATATTTCACATTGCAAATATTTCCTCCACTTCACTGTTCATTACTGATGGTGAAAAACGGAGGCAAAATTATCTGGTGATGAATGAGACATACTTTCGCAGATGGTTTTCAATTAATTGTTGTTTCAGTAACGTCCTGCCTCTTTTATGCACAGTAAATTTTTTCCACAGTAAAGTTTATGTGCATGAAACAAGGTTTTATACTTAGTGCAATACCTGAGATGCTCACTAAATTAATCCCAACTAGACATTATAAAATTTATCTTTAAAATTGAGGAAATTTTATGATGAGACCGGAGCTTCAGTGAGAATGAAGATAGCAGGATCAAATACTCAGTTTAGAAAATACCAAAGCCATAGTTATCCATTTAACTTTAAATTTCTGTCTTTGTACACTATACATCTGATATATGTTACCAATTAAAACCATGAACAAACTCTTCAAATAGTAGAAACTTTATCATATGGTCCGATTCAAACTTCACATCATACGAGAAATAATGTAATACAATATTAACATTCTAAACTTCTTTCTACACCATCTAATGTGCACCTTGTAACATTTGCAAAGAATAAAAGATGCTCCTGAATACGTAAACTTTCATTTTACCTTTGTAGTTCAAACCGCTGAGTTTTTAACAACCCTAAATATTAAGCATGATTAAACTTGCAGAAACACATCTTCAACGAAACTGCCAAACAAATAGAGAAACTCTTATTTTACTTTTGTCTAGGAGATAAAATCTCTGGGGAAAAGCTCCAGGAGAAGCAGGATAGCATTATGCAGCTAAGTGAATGCAGATGTCTTGTCTGCATTACTTGAGAGACCAGGCTGTGTGGCAGCTTGCTCCATACACGGTTTCAGTAATGCTTAGAATGCACTGAGTATCAGCTGTCTTCTTGGAAGTACCTTGCACTGTCATTAGTGATCTCTCCTGTGTCCACACATCTGTGTGATTTGCTATCCTAATCTTTGGTTTTACAGAACACAGAAATTGTATCTTTAACTAAGCCAGCAGGGCTTTTAAGTTTCTCGAGATTCCAAAGTAGCAAATTTTCACTTCACAACAGAAACAAAATCTTAAAGGAACTGATGTCATCAACTGCTACCTATATAGCTTAAGAAAACAGAATCACCTAAAAACATGTTGCATACAAGAAAGCAACGGATAAAGGTCAAAAAAAGGATAAACAAACTGCCAAGGTTTATCCAACTCAATTAACTCACTGTTCCAGAAAGTTCAGACAGGCTTCCAGGCATGACCAACTATAAAAATGAAAAAATCCTAACTGAAATGAAGGAGGGGGCCTATACTATCACAGGAGTATAAACTTCTACTGTCTTCTAAAATAAGTATCAGCAAAACTTTTTAGCCTTTACACATCACAGATAGTATCGATTTGGAATTATTGTAGTTACACTCTACCCGGTAGGCTGACTCAAAGACGTGTTTTACAACTGGAAGTTGAATACAATTTCAGTGAATTATACACAAGACCTAACCTGTTCGCTGTGCTAATATTATTTTTACTGATATAATAACTCTTAGTTAGATGACACATTCTTCATTAAAAGAAAAAATTATCTATACCTATTGGATGAATTACTTCTAAGGTTATTTTTGCTAGTCTCCTGATGATTGCTCTGCTATATAGATTAATGTTTAATGTGTAATTTATCTTATCCGTGTTACTTTGTACTTCTTATACATCGAGCTGTTTGGATAAAACTTGCCCAGTGGTCTGCTCAGTCCACAATATACATAACAATACTTGATTCACAATCTCTCCCATTACACAGGTTGACTATTAATGATTAAGCCATTTATGGCATGCGGTTTCACAAGCTATAGATGAGAAAAGGAAACACCAAGAATGATACTCAACCTTTGCTTTTATGGTCGTTTTCTTCATACCACCACTAAGGGAGTGGCCTAGTATCTCATAGCTCCTCCATGACCCTTCTCTCACAAGACTCTTTTGGGACCATTGGAGTTACTTTGTTCCTTAACAACTGCAAGTTTTGCCTAACATTATGATTATCAGATTTGGGCTGAAGTGGTTTCAGAAAGACAGCTTCTTGTACTGTTTTGCCTTTGAGAAAACCATAAAAAAGAAATCTTGAATAAAAAAATTGAACTATAAAGTATGATACATTGCTAGGGAACCAGTGATCAGTGACCTTAGCTGTACAGCTGCAGTTGGTATCCGTTGTTGGAGGCTACAAAGGGACATAGAGGATTTCTGAAAGTTTTTGTGGAGTTACATGCCTAAGTCATTCTTAACAAAACAGTCAGGGTTAGTGACTACCCCTTGGGTTTTTTTGGTAAAGGCAAGAAGATGCTGGTACCTTCTGTTTCCAAGGCTAGGTAAGCATTTTGCACTAAACAGCCAATAGATAAAAGGTTTAAGCAACCCTTGTAAGTAGGTTGAACTAGGTTCTGCTCCAAATCAAACGGCTGTTGTAATGACTAGAATAATCTTTCTCTAATTCCTTCTTTCTGGTTCAAAATTTTGAATTCTTCCCCATCAGTCAATTTAGCAAAATAGGGTAAAGAATTTTGGCCTGTTACAAATAATGAAACATTTACAGTATTTGTCAGGAAATTAAGAGTTGTGTGTTAAATGTATTTAGCATTTCAAAAGCAGGACTAGGCAAGGGCCACATTTCCATGTCTTCTGAATCTGATTTTTCAGCACAGTGGTTATCTGATGCATTTTCTAAGAACTCATTGCAGGTACATGCTAGACAGCCTCAGAGCACATATACTTCTTTCTGCCATGTAAAGGATGTTTTAGTCCTCCTTTAGATGGAGTTTAATGGTCATTTAAGTACAGATAATGCTTAGATGGAGACAGTTCTGACTCAGACACAGAGGACTTCAGACGTTTCTAGCGCTTGACCATATGTTTTGAACATTGCTATCTTTGATAGTAATGTAGCCACCTAAGTCTTTGGGCTCATGACTGTTCAGTGGATCTGGACCTCATTAACCTGATTAAGAGCCTTCCAGCAGTCAAATATGCATTATGATATTGGGGCACTTTCCTATACATAAATTACACATTGCCTCTCCCTTCTGTGAATTTTATATTCTGCACTCTATCATGCTTCAACCCTCTGTAACAAGGAGTACAGAAGGATTAGTTGAGGCACTTGCTAGCTAGCCATTCTTTTTTTCTGATCTTCATGATCTTTCCCTTTCCTGCCATCACCAGAGCAAAAGCAAATTTGCATATCCCAGTGTTACAGAATAGTATCAGTTTTAAATGGCACTATCTTTCTAAGAATGGAAACCTATTAATTCTCTTTTATGTGATTTCTCCTCTATAGTCTCTCCTGAGATAATTTGCTTCTGCTTATCAACTTCTTCCCTGTAGGATATTGCAGATGTCATACTTTCAAACTACCAGGAAAGAACTTGGTATTCTCAAGTTTTTCCCCAGTTAATTGGTATTCATCAGTCCTAAGTTAGAAAATATTGTCTCTCTGGCAAGCAAAAAGAGCTCGTAACGCATAGTTCTCAGTGTTTGCTTATTGATTGCAATAAGATTTGTTCCAGTAGGCTAATTAACACGTCTGCTCTACTACATACACCCAGGAAGGAAGGAGCACAGGAACAGGAGCAAGAACAAGAAAGAAAAGCTGCCATTTCTAAGCACTTGGCCATTCTTACACATGGGGAATAGTGCCTGACCCTGCAATCAGTGGGTTTCCTTTACTGTAAAACATTACTCAGTGAAGCGAGTCTGAAAGTCTGAACCTAAATGTCTTTTTGACTAACAAATATCCCAGTAAAATTGAGTAACGTTTCATTGACGTTAGTATTAATTCATTGATAAAATTCTTTTGTGCTCCTGTTTAAAATTAGCATTCCTTTAATGTAAAGGCACGCTAAAAACTGTGTGCACATCTCGGAAAACTGAGTACAGAAATAATTTTAGGAATAGCCACATAAAATGGCTAACAGATGTGGTCCGTGAAAGGCCTCAGATTACTAATATTTTTTTTGTCCATTGTTACAGTTCTAATTCTTACCATGCATTTGCGATCATCCACCCCAGCTAAATCCTCCTCAAACTCCTTTCCAACATCAAATTCCATGATGTAGTTTCTAAAAGTGCTTAGCGTTTTAATGATCATATGATCCCCATTCTGAAGGATTTCTTTGTCAGGTTTTAGCAAGTTTGCTATTTTTCTTACAGCAACATTTACATCTGAAAAAAAAAAAGAATTATTTTAAACCAGAAAAGTCTACCACAGAACAGAGCTTGTAGATCTTGGGAGAACTAAAACAAACAAAGACAAATAAACGTCCAGATCTTTCAGGCCAGCTTTCTCATCAGGAAAAAGTCCGTAACTTAATTCTTTTAACTTAAATAAGTTAATGTTTTGATTTTCTGATTATGTGAAACCCTAAAAAAACCCATTTGTATTTGACAGTTAATAAGGCCTTCAATATTTCTATAGAAATACTAGCACTTTACATCAAATGCAAACACACAAAATTACATTAACTACATTATTGTCTCTTTATTATACATAAAAATTTTACTCTTTTTTTAAAGTTTGAAATCTGCCACTTAACCTCTTCAAGCTATGTAGTTTAATCTCTGTTAATGTAATCTTCAAGATGGTATAAAGTAGAGGCTGCTTAAGACAAAGCAATTTTGCATAAGGCAATTCTTAAAGTGCATTCCTGAAAAAAATATTTCTCACAAAAATGATTTGTGACTGTACAAGAAAAAACAGATTCATGTAGAGACTAAGACAGGTTGCATTTATTGATTATTTATTAAAGAAACACAAAGAGAACCTTACCCAGTGCTTTCAGATACTCTTCAAAATTGTCATTGCTGACCATTTTCCAGTAACCACTGAAATCTGCAGGCATCCCTACTTCAGGTAATTGTCAAAATCAAAGTCTCAGAACAATGTGTTGATTCTGTACCACGCAGCTCACTGCCTTGCTTTATGGCAAGTTTGAACTCCTGTTTCTTTTATCTCTTTTTCAGACCATGTAGCTATGCAAGACCTTCTAATCCGATTATTGTTGAAGTGTTGCCTTTAAATCCTTGCACAAGGCTGAACCTCAGAGATTTCTAATGACAGCAGGATAACTTGATTTAAACAGAATGAAACATTCACCTTCCATCTAACTTCTGTAAGGGTACTGATAATCTAGAGATCCATTTTAACCATATTACTTTTCATTTTTCATGCCACTCAGAAAAAAACCTTTTAAATAGCTTTAGTTTAGGATATTGGCCAAAGCTATACAAGTGCTTATCTTATGTGTTTTTCTGAGGTGAATCCTTCTTCCTTGAATATGTTCTAGCTACTTTATGCCTTCTTTTCAGAAAATGATTATACAGACTCTTCCAGTGAAAGCAATTTCTGTCTGGCATTACTTTAACTTGTTCCACAAGCTCCTTAATTCTAAAGAACTACCAGTGGAAGCTGTTTGGCCAACTGAGGGCCCAAAAACGGCCAGTTAGGTGGAAACTTGTATTAAGAAGCAATGGTTAATTCTGTATATTGATAAATGCTACCTCACTACTGACTGCATGCTTTCAGTTAATTTAAGGAACGCTGAAATACAGAAGTAGCCCTTCATAGAGATCCCATATTTTTTGAAGGTGTCTTCTGTCAAAAATGAGATAGACTGAATTAGCAGAATAGGCAACCAACATACAAAAGAATGGATTTCTCTGGCTAACATTAGGGCTTAAATACTGACACACTGTCTTAGCTATTTTCATTTATTTTCCACTGTGTATTTTCAAATGGTACAGCTGAAGTTCCTCCTGGATATGTTATCTCCTCCAGGGCTTTGGCATGCACTTACTTTTAGACAAGACCCTGGACCAGAGAAGCAAAGAAACCTACTTTAAATCTGGGGATGAGGACTATCTGTCATTTGTGAATCTGGAGGCTTAAAAGTGATGTGAATGGTGCATGCATTTTTAAGTGCTTCCACGAAATAAAGATTTATTTCCATCTCTTGTCCAAACTGCCAAAACACAAAAAGTTATTCAGGGTTCTAAAAAGTCAACATTTAGCAGTAATACATATTTAAATATATATATATTAAAAAAAAAAAGAAAAGAAAAGTTATGGTTCATTTTATTTTGCCGCTTCAGAACAGTAAGGCATCTTCATACTAAAATTGTCTGTAGGATTACAGAATTACAATTCAGAAAAGTACTATGTTTGACCCTTAAGTATTACTGGAGGTTAATATTTATTGTTAGGATCTTATTTCTTTTATTTTCACAAGGAAGCTGTTTATGTATTTTAAGCTATGCAGCTGAGCATCCCAATTTGCTTATGCACTAGCACACACAAAACCATAAAATTAAAACACCACATGAATTCAAGAAATTTTGGACTGATGTACTTTCCCCTCATTAGGAAGAAACAACTTTGTCAAGAACTTTACATGAAAAAAGGCCAGGTCTGTCCACTTCACACACTACAGATGTCAGTCATTTAGTGGGTTTACTGTTGTGTTATGCAACTTAAGAGGCTGAAGCAAGTCACCTTCATTCTTCCGCTCACTCCCTTCTGTGTAGATATTATGGCGTGCAATGTAGGATATAACAGAATCTGGTATGAGATATTTTACACTTAATCCTCTGCACAAGGCATAGCGTATCTGTGTCGCACTGATTTCATTCTGAATCCATTCTTTCACCAGAAAGATATTGTGCTGAAATTGAGTTAAAAGGTCTGATTCACTGATATACTGAGCTGGATCAGAGCCAGCACGGCTAATACAGACCAAACCAAACTTTTCCACTATTTCTTTGATGTGTTCTTCCTTCCAGAGATTAGGTGTCTTAAACGTCTGTAGAAAATCAGCCCCACAGAGCAGCTTTAATTCTGGTAGAACTGGAAAGACAAAAGGAAATGACAGAGTTCAATACTTGCTTGGTTTTCTAGAAAGTTTATACTGAAAATTGCTTTTAACTCAATCACTTTTTTTTTTTTTTAAATAGTTTACTTTTACTCCGGTTTTCTTTCAAAAGGTTGCAAGAAAAAAAATCAGCTTGGATTTTATGTGTCTGGTCACAATTACTTTATCACCTACTTCATCATCACTCACAGTATATCAAATATTACCTGTACAATATTAAAGGAGAATTATTCCTCCACTCAGGCAAGCCAAAAAGGGGAAGAAGCAAACAAAGAAGAGAATTATTTTAGCACAAAGACTAGACTTGGTTGAACCTGGCTATTACACCCCAGCCTGCCCTACTCACTTTGCTCAGGTATAGTGGGACCAACCCCAGCTAGTGAGGCCCTTGCCTGCCACTGTGGCCATATGGCTCCCCATCCCTTAGGAAGCAGCTGCCTTACTGCACTCTGGCACACAGACACAATGTTTGCATACTGTCACGTTAGCCAGAGAGCAACCTAGAATTTTGCCTGCATTTGTGCACTTATATCATCTAAAATGTGATGGACTGTATCTAATCTAACTACCCTTACTGGTACAATAAGCTAGTTAGTTGACCTACTAAGTTTTGTTTTATTTTTAGAGAAATTTGAACCAGCAGAATATTGTACAGATAGTATTTTGTGTCATGTGGCCACGGCACTTTTGTTCTAGTACAAAGACATCTAAAGTCAAATTTGCTGTACCTTGAAAAATGACCAAGAATGATACTTCACTAGTACAATTTTTTCTGTTTTCTTTCAATTTCTTATTTGCTGGCCACTGCCTAAGCCCCAGTACAGACCACCTCTTTCCTCAAAGTCTGTTCTACAGCACCCATCATTATACCATCTGAGTATTTTACAGACATTGACTAGGTATTTTCACAGCCTTGCATTCATGTGAAATGAAGGGGAAGGATGGAGGTATTGTCTCCATTTTACATTTACTTGTGCTTATAGACAGTTAGCACATCTGCCAGTCTTATACAAACACCTTAAATTAGCAATTCGAAAAATAAGAAACATACCAGTCATGTTGCATGAAAAGCATGTGCCTCAAGATTCACTCAGTTTTGCAGAGGTTTAGTACATACCATTGAGTTAACTTCAGCAAACATTTCTTCTCTTCTTACACCCTCCCACTACATACCTTCTGATCCCTACAACAAAGGTGGCAGGAGTACTGCACTGCACCTTCCTGTGGTCTGAATGCAGCATTACTACAAAAGGAGGCCTTCTATGGGACAAGGCTATCTTGAAACATTCATGCCTGACAGAATCACCATACACTGTCCACATTCTTAAAAAAGTAATTCTGTTTTTTTTTAGAGTTTATAATTAGTGTATTTGGGAGGAATGTGAAATTTTTGTAACAGTCATCTCCCCCCCAAATCACCCAGTAAATTTATTTTAATACCCACATCTGCAAGGTTGGAACCTTTAGATTCAATGCTCTCATCTCTGACACTTGAGCTAGTGCAGAAGTACTTGCAAAAGGGCTACAGGAGAATTAAACTCTGAAACAACGTCCCAGGTACTTCTGACAGCTGATGAACGATGAGACACCAAGAACCTTAGGATTCACACAACCCTGGAAGCTCTATCATGATAGAGCTGATATCTTCTGCTTCATCCCTTCCAAGCTGTGCTCTGCCCATGTATTTCCTCATGCCAGTTCCAATCTTCTTGTCTTTCCACTCACAGATTCTACTCTTTCCTTACAGTTCCCTGTTCTCAGTTCCATGTTTAGACTGTTTCCAGTCCTCTGATTTCCAGAGCCTTACTTGGGTTTTATGTCACAGCTTGCTTTTTACTTAACAGCAACCCCCACAATAAAACAATACTCTGTCCCAAGCTGTATTAGAGCTAATATCACACCAGAGCTTTTATAGTGTTAATGGGTTTTCTCTGAATGTACATGCATTGCAGTTCTAGGTTACTAGAAGCTAAATTAACAGATTGTAGGCTTTACAAAATGGCTGTCAATTTTACACGTACATTTCCGCATATCCCCGTATCTTCCGTGCCAATGAGAAAAATGTGTCTTTGGTCTTTCAAGGGCACTTCGCTAAATGATGATCTGCAGCTTCCACTACAGATAATGGTATAAACCCCAAATGGCTGCTGCAATGCTCCATTTTTTGGTAAGTACAATAGCCTTCATTTCAGGCCATGTTACATCTGGATCTGGGAAATTTTTGCTTATTTTTGATTGGCGTAGCTCAGTCGATGGTGGACAGAAATGAATTGCAATTCTTTGAAGTGTTGTTCAGGGAAAAAGGAGAGGGTAAGCTAAAGGAGAAATAACTATTAACACAAAGGAAGCAGCTGGATTTAAGGTATAATTAAGGGAGACTGCTGTTGGAATATGCCAGGGAAAAGCATTCAAGATGTGACAACAAAGTTGTTCGTGTAAGGCAACTGAGAGACTTGAAGTGCAGGGGATTCAATTAAAAATGAAATTAAGACAATCAGCCATCTCTTGTAAGTAGGAAAAGAAATACGGCATGTGAAGCTACATTTGGTGAATCAAGGAGGGATGGCAAATCCCTGGATACTGAAAAACAGAGAAAAAGAACTCCATAGTCCTGTCATTTTCATCTTCATCCTGAATGACTAGCACCAATAAGCTATTCTAAGTTTACTAAAACTGCAATAATTTGTCTATACCTGTCCTCCGTGAACCTTTTTATTTTCAATATATATTAAAGCGACCTGATTATTTCATGTGGAACAAAATCATGAGGTTCAGCACCACGCAAAGAAGTCTCACAGTTTAGTAGGCACACATATAGTAGAAAAATAGTATATTATGGAATTTTGCCACTGCTAAATTCAGCCATCAAGTTGATCTTTCTGAAAGCTTCCATTAGGTGACTGAGCCTTTCTAAAAACTTCACAGAAAACCCCGATTCAACAGATTTCATTGTTGGGAGGTTTTTTTTTGTGGGGTGGGGGTGGGAAGGGAGGAGGAATTGGGTAACAGTTGCCTGCCATTAGAAAG